CGCTCTACATGTTGGTACTTGTAGGCTGTTGGCCTGTAAATTCAGTTTCTTCAGGATGTATGGCCACATCCATGTGATCATCAAAGACTTGGTCATCTCAGAGTTCAGTGAAGAGAAATGGGCGATGGTTTTACATGCCTCTGGCTATGCAGATGCTGATGTCTTAGACACGGTCCCACATCCAGATGCGGCAGCTGGGGCCCAACCAGAAGAAACAACTGATTTGCGGCCCAAAACATGTTTGTTCTTGTTGGCAAACTGCCCGGCCTTTTGTTGCCCTTTCATCAATACCTTTCATAGTATCCGGGGGTCGCACAAGAACGATCAAGAACGGCACGTGTTCAAAAACAGTCCATCAATCAGGGCTTCATTCTCCCAAATGGTTCTTTTGAAGTCAGGCGGCCTCGGAATCAGCCCCTCAGCCTAGTTGCAGTGATTTTGTTGAACTTTTAGAAGCGCTTTTCAACCAGGTGCAGAAAGGGTTTGGCAAGGGTCATGAAGGGATTGGCGGCGATACAAACACAGCAGTGTTTGTGGAACCCTAGGGCTCCAGTCGTGCCTCCTCAGAAGGTAGTTGGAGCCCTAGGGGAATGCAATCATGAATGAAACTTACTGTATGAATTATATCACGGATGTAATGTAGAATGTATTGTGTATGTATAATAATTGCCTTGACGATCTTTACGATCCTTTACGTAAGATCAGGGAAGGTAGTTTTGGGAACGATGTTGCTAGTATTTTGGCGAATATGTCATCGACCCGTGGTGCATGTGTGTGTGACCAGTCTTGGCGCCGAAAACACCAGTTGAACGACTCTCAGAAGCGGACCACAAGAGAGGTCTGTCGTCCCACAAGAGGGATCCTCCCGGTCCCTGACTGGATTCAAAGTGCGAGATTTTGGCTAGACCCTAGCAGAACTGAGCAGCTCTCCAGATGTCGTCGTGGATGGCTGCGGAATCAGGTCACCTTTAGCCTCTTGACCAGCCTGTGCATGATCACTGCTTGGTCTCCCGACGAAGCTGTGGAAGCACTGGGGCACCACCTCATCGTTTTCTCGCTGCGCTCTGGGCCGCTGGGAAAGAGTGAAGTTGCGGATCCCGGAAATCATCATGGTTACATGGATGGCACCACCCGTTAATTAGAGAAAAATGGTCTTCCAGAGTCCTATATTCCACTTGCTATGATTATTTCACTTTTGAAGACCCGTGCAGGACTGGTGTGTCGGGAGAGGAGGTTCATGTTGGATTTCACGACAAGGAGTCCATGGTCAAGGATGCATTGGGCTTTGCACCTGGAGACCCCTGCTGGCACCTAAATTCACAAGGTGAACCTTCAGCTGAACAAACCAAAACCCAACAGGTGTTATATACATATGCATTGCCCTCAGCAGTGCAGGTAGATGACCACGCTTGGGCGGGTACCCTTGTCGAGGCGGTTTATAGTTGATACATGGAGCCATTTGAGCCTTAAAGCTATGTAGTCTCACGAGTGCACGCCCTCAACCCAGCTATGTTGGTGCCATGTGATGCAGTGTCCGCGGTTAGATCCTCTCATTCCCAAAGGGGATAACCTGCAAAACCTTTTTGGGGTAATGGGTTTCCCCACTCAAAGTCATCTCAAATCCATCAGGTGGAAAAGGGTTCATGGTCATTTGCCAGGGAACTCAGGGAGTTAGCCGAGTCAACCAGAGCACGGCTGACAAGTCAAGCCCGGTCCGTGTCCTCCAACTTGCTGCCAGCCTGGCTGATCTCATCCGAACCCAGTGGGTCAAGGTGAAATCATCCCAGAAACAGCTAATCCACCTCAAAAGGAACAGTTTTACAAGGTCCTGCTGTAACTGACCGAGTTTTACGAGGTCAGATATTGACCTTGACTTGGAATTTCATCCTCACCTCCCCATCTGCAGTGACCTGTTGGCAATGCTTTCAGCACTGAGAGCCATTGAGAGCCTCAAATCGGCTGAGGCCGGTATGGTCTAGTGAGCCTAGTGGTCCAACACCATCGGTCCCACACCGGACCGCGCCGTGTGGAAGCCGTTCTTCGCCGCGGCACGACGTGGTCACGTCACGTGGTCCGAGGCACCAGCGCTTCTTGAAAGCCCAGGGAGCGACGTTACCCATCTTCCTGCAAAACGTCAATAGCGTCCATCGGCAACTGGAGCGCGAGCATCCAGGGGCGACCTTTCCTTTTCTACACGTGCGATGCTTGGCGCGGCGGTAAACCGGGGTTCGCCACGGCCGCGAAGGCGGCCCGCACAGATCGGCCGGGGGAAGAATAACCATCCAATTTGGGTCACCCATCATGGTTTGGAGGGGACGCTGCGAGAGTGCACATCAATGATGTGAGTTCTGAAGGATTCAGACTTTCCTTTCATGCATGATTTGTCTCACGTTCTATTAAGCTCCTGCTTTCCTATGTCTCGAAACCATTCCCTGGAGATACATGATAAAACTATATGAAACTCATGAATACTGAATACCATTGAATACCTGACGTCATGCCTGTTTTTTTTTAACAGTTTCTCTCATCGTGGTTTGTGATTCAGCTGTCGGTCGTGGTGGAACCACCAGCTGGACCAACGGGTCCAGACGAGAGTGGGCGATTTGTTGGGAGAGGATTTGGGGTGGCGACTCTGGGGCTGCAGATGACTGAAGCAAGGCCGGCAAGGCGACTCTAGCTGCTAGAATGCATGCCCCATGTCGATCACACCGCAAGAATCAACCAGGCACTGCATTTGACTTGTTGGAGGTGATTCATAGTTAGGCAGGGCCAGCTTTTTGCCTGTGACTCGCTGAAGCAACGAAGAGGAATCCACCCGCAGCGGCTTCTCGATGATCGAAGAGCTGAAGCAACGAAGGTTGTAGTAGTTCCTCCCTCACTCATCAGCTAAATTTCTTCCGGAAGACACCTCACTCCTGGCTTCGACATAGATTGCACTGACGACACCCGCTGAACGCCCCAAAGACGTCTCAAGAAACCACGACATATCCAGCAAAAGCGCTACCGCTACATTAGGTATCATACTTCTGTCAATGTCTTGCCGCCTTGCCTTGAGGAACCTATAGCCCATATATTGGAGCTGTCCCATCAAACCTGCAACGGTAAACAATTATATATTACATGTTTCTAAGGCCTGCTAGCCTAGCCATCATCATCATCATCATCATCATCATCATCATCACCACCACCACCCCCGTCATCATCATCATCATCATCATCATCATCATCATCATCATCATCCACCGGGCCCGGGTAACAGGACTTGCGCAGCCCATAATAGCTCCTTCACTCCAGGATCTGACCAACCGGACCGTGCTGAGCTCCGGTACTTCTCCCCGCGTCGGGGCTTCGGGCGCTTTGTGGTGGGCGTGGTCCGGGCCATTGGGGCTTATCTCTATGGCAGCTCGGTGGCGCAAAGATCCGGACGAGGTTAAAGCATGCTAAACCTGAGGGGTTTTGCTCATGAGTCAGTCGTCTACATGAAAGATCCACTTGAAGTTGGGAGACCTTGGGATCCCTAGTGGAGGTATGTAGAATGCCGTGGCTGGTGATCACTGTTTCTGCATGAGATCTCAAATGGTATGTGTTTGGTTTGTTTGTGTGTGTGTGTGTCACCTCCCGTCTCCAGGGTCTCTACAAGCTACTACTCCCTAATTCTTTCTTCAATGGACAGACAGTAGCAGGGGCAATCCCACATTGCAGTCGATTGCCCAACGAAGAGGGCTACAATTGTGGCTGGGCTGCAATGGTGGCTGAAATCTGGAAAGGACCTTCTCCAGACGTACCTGCCACAATGTTTAACTCCAGTTTGATGATTTAAACAATATTGTTCAGCGGACTCTTTCGCCTCTCAGTTCCTCACAGGGCCATCCATTTTGAAAGTCTTAGGTCTCTGAGTGCTCTGGTATGCTGTAGCTGTAACTAGATCTTACAGGGCTAATGCACACCGAGATCCACACAGAAATCTTGCTCCTTGGAGCTTTTTCTCAAGTGTGTCCGTGTGTGTGAGTGTAATTAAGATCAAGTGTTCCATTTATATTCCCCATAGTATGACCATTTAAGATTGTTTGGCTGAATTTTGGACAGTGGACGTGCCTCACGCATGCTAAGCAGATGCAAGCAGTGTAGGTGTATGTATGTCGAGATGGACACCTCCCTCCAACAATAATTGCTCGAGAAATTACAGTAGTTTCAGAGTAGATGCCGCTGGCAACCCCAGAGGTCTTAGATAGATGGGAGGCCCCGTATTACCCACCAAACTTGGGGGGCCTTGTGCCATTTACTCTCAGAGCACTATCAGGTTGACCGGACCATGCCACGGAACTACCCTCACTCAAGTCCTGCGACTTGGTGTCGGTGGTTTTTAAAGGACTGGTGCTGAATCACCACGACTGTTATGAATGCCTGCTTATCCTGGTTTTGCTTGAGGGTATGTTTATTCCTATGATTGAATTCCTTTTGGTGAAATATGTTTTCCAGGTTCCTTAAGCATATCCAAGATATAGACGTGTATAGTTACTTGTTTTTGCAGCTCAGAGCTTGAGAGCATTGGAGAGGGGCCTTTCAAGCATTCTTGAAGAATTCATTGAGGATGCCCATGGTGGGGCCAATGGCAGGTTTATTGATTGCTCATCTTCCCGAGTCAATTCTTCGGCTTGGACCTTGTGGAATCTCCAATGACCCCCTTTAACCTCGTCCAAGCGCTGACAGTCAGCGCCCAGGGGTGGATGTCAGCTTTGAGGAAGCACCTATGAGCCCGATGTCTGGACAAACTTTCATGCCAGCCAACCTTCAAGCCAAGTCTTGGAGGATGTCCTGGTGCCCATTGCCAGAAGGAGCCGTGAGAGAGCACTGCAATGCCGGGGCCTTGGGGAGCGCTGTGCCAATGACCCCGTGAAACTTATGAGACACCATCAAAGCGTAGGGTCCCTGAACTCGCAACTGTCTATCTCTCTATCTCTATCTATCTATCCATACAAGGGCCTTCGGGCCTTCCCAGTGACCCTTTGAGATCCCAGTGGCTGTGGTGACTTAGGTCTCCTATCAAGGTCACTTCCCAATCCAGAGGTGACTGGGTAAGACTGGTGCCCTGGTACAAACAGATAGATATATATATATATTAAGAGGAGGTACTGAGTACTGTAGGCAACCACAAGAAAGGCATCAAAAAGCGCAAAACATCCATACAAGCTGAATAGTAGGCATAAGTCATTGATTCTTGCCGCCAACAGATGGCATCCTGTCAAATCATATCCAATTATGCATCCGGTGAGCTGGCCTGGTGGTTCCTGGCCACCAGTGGTTCCTGGCCACCGGGGCCTGATTAGATCAGGTGCAACCGGCCTTCGAAGCGCACCATAAACAGAACAGGAAAAAAGGAGAATGGACCCCCCCCGCATTCCATCTATGTTTGTGTGACACCTACGCCATCTTTATGGTATCAATATAATATTGCATGCATATTTATATATATATATGTTATAATATATATATATATATATATGTGTGTGTGTGTGACACCTCAAACGGACGAGCCCAATGATCCCAAGGGCCAGCCCGCAAGGTCCGCCGTCTTGGCCGGTCCCAGAGGTCCGTACGAGCAGCGAACGCACTCCAAATCGACCGTGCATGTTGATAAAGCTCTGTTTCTAAAGGCGATACCTTCCATTGCTTGGCGATACTTCCATTATTAAGCTCTGTATCTGTGACTTCTATTGATTACGAAAGCCAGCCTTCGTAGAAGGCGCCAGCTGAGTTGTGCTCGGCGAACGAAGTGAGTAGTTAGGGGGTCTGGGGGGGGTGGCCCGCAAAAGGTACACGTAAACTCGGCACATGCTGGGGGAGGAGGGTGGACGGATGGAAGGTTTTTTGAGGTTGTGTTGGAGGTGATTTTTGAGGGGTGGTGATGCAAGAAATGCAATTTGCATCATTTGCATCATCTGAATGGTAAGGTGTAGTTGGCACCTTGCCAGGTATAGATACCCAGGGTAGCTATAGTGCAGTTACCAGGTATAGTACTTCAAGTTCCCTTTCCATCAACCGCTCGATAACCTCTACACATGCACAGCAAACCACAGCTTTGAAGTCTCATTCGTGCTTTGAACTTATATACGTGTGTGAGAGGTATAGCAACATAGCATGTATACGGACCCAGGGTAGCTACAATTCTGTTCCCAGGTATCCCACTTCAATTTCCCTACCCTGGGTCCGCGCCCGCGCGCCTTGCTGGCTCCCGGCTGCCCGTGATTTAGGCGCGCGCGCGCGGACCCAGGGCAGCTACGAGGCAGTTGCCAGGTATACCCTGAGTTGCGCGGACCCAAGGTAGGGAAAATTGAAGTGGGATACCTGGCAACAGAATTGTAGCTACCCTGGTCCGTATAAATGCTATGTTGCTATACCTCTTACACCCCTATATAAGTTCAATGCAAGAATGGGACTTCAAAGCTGTGGATTGCTGTGCGTGTGTAAAGGTTATCGAGCGGTTACTATACCTGGTAACTGAATTGTAGTTACCCTGGGTATCTATACCTGCGCCAGCTGAGTAAGAAGGGGGATTCCGGGGGGGTGGCCTGAGGCCTGAGAAAGCACACTCGAAAGTACAAACGCCGGCTTTCGTTTTGCAGCTTCTCAGGTAGGTGCATGTTTGCTAGCCAATGGAAGTCTTTTCAAACTCATAGATGTCCGTTTGACCCACCGAAGATTGCGGCCTCTTGCGTATGGGTGACCACAACGAGACACCGAAGATTAGATCGTCCCCCACGCGAGGAGCTGAGAAAATCTGGGCGCGACCGCAGGATGCGAGGTCCCCGAGCGAGGCGGGGCCGCAGGAGGCGTCGATGCCCTTTGCCGCATTGCACTCTGCTATGATGGAAGCTTTGGCTTTGGCAGAGCGATTGTGTCTCACTGAAGGTGATTTGAGGGACACCAAACGACTAAACGAAACACTCCAGCGGACAGGAGTGCAGAAGCTCAGGAAACTTTACAAAATCTCAGAGGGTCGCCCCCTTGATACAACCACATAAGGGACTTGCTGTGCAGGAAGTTGAGCCATGGATTTGGAGGGCGCAGGGCTTGCGACATACGATCGAACGCACGCTCTTGGGCTCCAACCAGGTGGCACTTTGGAATGCCGTTGGTTTGGAGACCATTTCACGGTGTGACTCCTTTTTTCACGTGTGAACCACATTGGTCAGATGATACGTACGGTCGCACCCTTCATCTTCTGGGAACCGCCCCCATCGGTCGTCGGGAGCTGGGTGGGCCACATCGCAGTACTTCGGTCGGTCGGTGTTTGGGGTCGAGCTATCCCTAGGGCTCCGATCGTCCCATCTCCTCAGGTTCGGTGGTTAGACCCCCCAAATCCACCCCAACCATCTTCTCAGGAGGTGGGCCAGGAGCCCGGGTATATATATAGCCGCAAAACCGCAGGACGGATGCCCTGATGTATGTAGGTGCTTCCTGATGTGACGAGAAGAGGGGTGCCTGTTTTCCCATCAGGGATGCGCAGATGGGAACCTGGTGTTTGGGAACCTCATTCTGAAGGGCGGACTCCAACAATCTATCTCATCACCCGCGATATCCCACCCTCTGAAACAAACCGCGAGATCGTGTAGAACACACACATGGCAAATCCGACACACACACACACACACCCAGGATATCCAACGTTTGAGCAAGATCTTTGGTTGTTCCAACGTGAGTTGCGCTCCTTCGAACTCACAACTGGTGCAAAGGAGACCCAGTCAAGTGAACGAGACGAAACGAGACGCGGGGTTCTGGTGAGATGGAGGTACCAAAGGCCTTGGAGGGCCCAAAGCTCTTCTGAACATGATCAAACCTAGGATCAGAGTGATTCATACTGATACTGGCTCCAGGTGCAAAACATGTGATTTTGCGGTAATTGCTGTTCAATCTCTAGGTCTAGGTGTGTAAAAGATTGTAAAAGTCTCTATGCACCATCATCCACTAGCTCAATGGGATATGCGGATTCTAATTTGGGAATGGAAGAGAATCAGTCCCATAGGCTCATCAGTTGTTGGTTTTTTATTGTGTTTTACTGGCAATGGGGCAATTCTAAATAACAGGGGTTGAGGGTGGCAGCGGCAAACTTGCAGGACGCAGTTGCTGTAGGCCAAATTGACTGGAGAATGGGTTGGGGGGTCAAAACATGACCAACAAGGTACTTGTATGTAGTTGAAAGGAGTTGAGTATTCTAGGACATCAGCCGGCCCGGATAAACATTTGGGGATGTGTTAATCTTTTTTCGCCACTATCGAGATCATGTTTGGTGCGAATGCACATGCACATGATGCTGCGGTTGTGTGGGTTGGATACTTCAGATAGGGATGCAACAAGCAACACAAGTAATCCATTTACATTTACGGTAACACACACACACACATATATATGTATATAAATATCGCTGATTTAGTCGCAAGACGCAGTACATATATATATATATACATACAGAGGATTGAGAGTAAATGGCCGAGACCCCAAAAGGTGGTTTATATGGACCCCATCTAAAAGACATCTTGGGGTGCCAGTGCCATCGAACCTTTGAAACCACTGTATACTTGCGTGCAGGTTCTTCGCTACTTGTTCGATCAAGTCCTGTTGCGCCAACTTCGCAGCCTGCAGGAAGTTGGAGGAGCTGTCAACCTCGAAGATGCCGGAGGAGGCCATGAAGAAGCGGCGTTTGGGGCCCCCAAACCCTGCTCAAAGGCATCTACTTTCCCTTGTGTCCGTTTGCTATGGGGCTCATTGGCAGGTCGCCACATCTTGAGATGCGCGACCTTGCTTAGTAGGTTCAACAATGTCCGATCATCCCCCAATGATCCGAGGCTTTGTGAAGGTGGGTGACTTCAGGTTGATTTGCACGAGGATTCCAGGATTGAGAAATCAACGCCTGAATCCCATTTCCAACTCTTGTTGTAACTGTTGCGGTCAAACGAACTACCAAGCCAGGTTAGGCCGAACTGTGGAGACGGCCGGGCCAATGGAGCCGACTTTCGGACAGCCTCCCGCTTGTTTGGAGAGAAAAGCCCCCATCTTGTTGAGGCTTGGTAAGGGGCCCAGGGGTCGAGCTGTTCCACTTCCGTAATTCGAAAGGAGACAGAACACTAACCATGTGGACGCATTTGGACAGAACTCGATCCCTTTCTGAATCATCTTGGGTGCTCTCCGAGTCGCAGGATTTGCTCATGCGAAGCACCACAGCCAAGACCATCGCAGCAGCATGGAGCGACATACACCTTTGTCACTCGCCCGATGTGTGCGAATGATCAACTTGGTATGTGCGCTTGAGTGCGGTTTTCCGTCAACAGTTCCATGGAACATGGAAGTGCCTGTACACTGGGTCTATATTTGAATCATGCATGCAAAAACCCAGAGTTCACCAGCCCACGGTGGCCCCACCTGTTACATGCCAAGGGACATGAAACGAAACCGGAGATCTTCTTTGATGCCCGCGGTCGAAGCGCGTGAATGGGCGGAGCAAAGATGACACCAATGGCGTGTGAGAAGACGGACATGGGACCGGCTTGTCACAGCGGCACCCACCATCAGGAGCCATTGAGATGCGGGCTTTCGGCTTGAGATGCGAACCCAGACAGCTGATGAGAAAAGCTGATATAGATGATATAGTTGATGCTCCATGGTCACTGATGAACAACACAGATTGAGTGCTGTTGCACTGATTTCGATGGTCTAAGACGGTTGTATCTACCTTTTTGTGGGGGTGGTGACATTTTTGGGGGGCTTTGAGGTTGGATGCCATCGCCTTTGGTTCCTTTTGCTATTGGGTGACATTGTAGGGACTCCTCGGTTGTAAAAATATTAGGTTTCCTCCGTGAAACCTCGTGGAACGCGTCCGAGCTCTCTTTGTGCAGCACGTGAGGCCAATGCACTCGCTTTTGGGAGACATCTGACGCTGGACTCTCAAGTTCAGAAGGCTTCTGACTGTGGCTTCTTCTACGAAACAGAACTGAACACCAACTAAAGAGTCTGTCAATAAACAGTTGAATGTTTAATAAGTTTAATAATCAAAACCATCTTCCAGTTTTGCTGATCGTGATTCACTCAAACTGGAAGATCAGATGGCCGGCATGGTCTAGGGCGTGGAGGGTTAGAAGTTAGAACGCAACATTTCAAACTGGAAGGAAGATCATACTAGACTATACTGACTTCACGTGATTTGCCTGGTTTTCAGCTTGAACCCCCCCGATGTCCTGGATCGTTCACCCAGGAAGGGCATGAGGAGGACTACCAACTCTCGCAAGATGCACTCTTCGCCGACGGATTCGTGAGCCACTGCTGGGCACCCCCAGATGATTGGGATGAGGTCATGGGAGAGGCTCGGGTTGGGACGCGAGATCAGGTAGAGAGGCCACTGGTTCTTGTTACTTGCAACATCTTGCAGTGTGTTCTTCTTTTTTTTTCTGGTGATCTCATGATGCAGCAGTGGACTTGGCGTGGAGCAGATTTATTAGTCTGATCTTGAACATGGCGGCAAGCTACCCGATACCGCGCACGCAGCAGAAGACGTTCCAGTCCTTCTTTCTGTTATTTTTGTCCCTCCCTTCTTCTTGCTTCTCAAGAAGCCCTGCAGTCGTGCACGCCTCGCATAGGAGGTCTCTTATGCGGAAGTGAAGGCCACCACCTTAGCAGTCATGGCGAAAGACATCGCCCTCGGGCGAGACAGGTCTCTGTCAGCGTGGGGTTCGATCACCTTCTGGGTCGACACTTGCCTTCTGGGTCGACACGGCTCGTTTTGGTCTGCAAAGGTGAAGATTTTGTGTTTCGATGCTACGATCAGATCATGTCTATGGGGAACCGATTTATTGATGTTGATTATATTGTGTTGCATATAATATATGCATGTATACATCAAACATGCAAATACGGGTGTTGCATTTTTGTTGGAACATTTGCAATGTTTCGATGCTTTGGGTCTACGACATAGTGCAAAACAGCTTGCCGTATGAGTACCACACAAGTGGCGTATGAGTACCTCGGATTTTTACTTTAGATACAGTATCTTTAGATGATGAGGAACCAGAATCTCAGAAAGTTGCTTGTCGTGTGGGCGGTGTTTTGTTGTTGACTTCTCAGGATAAAGCCTGCATTCCACAAGACCATGAAGACCTGAAGGCGCTGTTTTCGAGCTGGTTTCCCCTCCCCAGCGGGGATTTGCAAAATCCCACACCCGAATCTTGGCGTTGGAGGTATGGGCTGTGAAAAGCCCTTCAAGGCAACATAACTATAGCAGCTAGCATACTGCAACAGCCAGCTATTAGCGTATACACGCGTGCCTGCCCCTTTGTCAGGCCAGGTGTGTGAATCTCTTGGAGAAGTTCATCCTCAAGTGCGAGTACACCTGTGTCCTGTTTACCTGGAACTATCTGGAACGATTGTGGTGTATCTATGAATGGGCTTGCTTCTTGATCAGCCAGGACGTCGTTGGACCCTTGCTTCTGGAGCAATCGTTGCCATTCGATCTCACGCCAGCACCAATTAGCATCATTTTCGATCTTCCAACTGTGCGGTGTTTTTGCCGCCGGTTGGCTCATTTTTGGGATGCAAAGACAGAAGTTCTGCATGCTAGAGAGAATCTTGTGAGGTGTGATTGTTGGTAGTGTGTTGTAGTTTCGATGTTCTATTTGGTCCTCCCCAAGCTAAGTATCCTACTTGCTGAAGACCAGTTGCCCGAAAAGAATGATGGTCACTGCTGAAGAGATATGAATGCATTCTTCGGTCCTGGATGAGTGATGTTTGGGGACACTCGTGAGAATCGAGAACAGGTCAACTACTGGTTAGCTTAGAGGTGCCCTTTGATCCCTTTCTTGGAGATTCAAGCCAATTTGCCCAAAGAGTCTACAGTTTCCAAATCCGACTTGAGGACATTTGGATGTCAAATGCCGCTAGTCAAGCGCAACTGGCGGGGTGGCTTAGCTGCCTTCGCAATATGATACTGCACATCCACGGACCCAAAATGGCCACCCTATCAGATGGATCCAAACACACCACCACTCTTCCCACGCGCTCGTTCTCAAACATATCACATCTAACCCCGCCGGTTCGTCGTCTCGTCGCTTCGCTTCCCTCTCTCCCGCACACTGACCGTCACACATACGCCAAACACGCGGGTCTGGAGGACTTCAACAAAATCTTCCTGCAGACTGACGTGTTGGTACAAGATGCGCTGTTGCCCTTGCACCTTTGCTCCTGCTTACTCGGCCGAACGCCCGCCGGCGTGCGTTCGCCGACGACGTCTCGACTGCGTCCGGGACCGGTCCGGACCCTGAGGAGTCCAAAACAACAAGACCAATTGACATGTCTTGTGTACCAAGGGACGCCAAGGCAACGGGATGAGCAAGGCAGTCCCAGTCCCAGGTCAACCACCCCAATGAAATATGCTATACCCATAGGGTCCAGGTACCTCCGTACTTCGGATGGTCGAACGGAGGTGAGTATGTACTTCCGGAGAATGGTCGAACGGGGGGTCTGGCAGGACATCCGATTCGGATGGTCCTGGACCCTTAGGGTGACCCATTTTGTGTGAGTTTGGGATCCCAGATGTTTCTGTTGTTCTTCCAACTTCGGTACAGCGATCTTGACACGAGTCGGGAGGTGTGTGGAGAGTGGCAGTTGGTACCTGCACTGCCTTCTTTGCTTTTACATCCTATACTCATCAAAGTTTAAAATAAAGAGAGCACGTGGGGATTGGTTTCCCATCCAATTGGACAGGGGGAAAAATGTCATGCGTTTTCTGTTCTTTCTCCCCCCAAAAAAATGATTTGGACATGAGTCCTGTCAGGAAACTGCCAAAGCCCTTCTTTTTTGCCCTTGTTTTGACCTGTCAGTTCTCTAAACATCCACCGTTCCACCGTGAAGCCGGCTCCGTTTCGCAGCCAATGCCATGAGGTATTTGGACTCCGTGCGGAACTTTTCGTTGAAGAAAGCCAAATGCCACAAGGCATGGAAGAGAGAACATGGGAAGCCAGATGCAGTCCACGAGATGCGGGGGGGCGAAACCAAGGCTTGCGGGCAGATGGCATAGGATAGGATGGGGAAGGCTGCCTGAAGTGCTTGGCATACGTGAGTTAGAATTGACCGATGTGTGTGCCAAAGCCGATGGTTTCTTTGCCAATGCGCCATTGGCCAAAGGCATGATGGACTTCAGGGGGCCCGTCGGTTTCATTTCTATGCCTTAATCCAAGTCCATTTTTTGATTCTATCCTACTACTATCCGCTACTATCTCCTATTACACTCCCGAAAACTAACGAATGACAGCCTCAAAGACTGTTTTCCTCTACAAACTGGTTTTCAGGGTTCCGTACTGGGTCCATGGCATCTCTTGGAGGTCCATGGCATCTCTTGGAGGTCCATGGGATCTCTTGGAGGTCCATGGGATCTCTTGGAGGTCCATGGGATCTCTTGGAGGTCTGGTACTCCGAGGGGTTAGAAAAGCTTGACTTGCAGCTAGCTGTTCCACCAGAGCCCCCATTGGCCCTGCAGCCGAGGTGCACCACGACCAGGCTTCTTCTTCCTAGTAGCGACGGCCTTCAACCTAATAGCTTCTTAAGAGTATACCGATGGCCTCCAACCGACTTGCGATGGCCTACTTGCGATGTCCTTGTTACGGGCTTTGTTTCGGTACCAACATCAAGGTCATGTTGGGTTGGCACTCAACCATCCTTGACCAACCACAATTGAGGCCCTGACTGCGCCAGGAATCTGACAGGAAGCTGCTTGAACAGAAGATCCACCGTGAGTACGTCTCGGAGGCGCCTGTACGACAGGGGAGACAGGGACTCGATCTTGGGCCGGACGGTACTACTTCCCTAGTGACATGTGAGGCCTATGAGGTTTCTGCCTTTCTTAAGTCGCATTCTATAAAAACCATACGCGCAAGAAGCAGGCCCACCGCCCGAGTCGCAAAACAAAACACCAACTGTCGTCGCGCCACCCACGCAGGAGGCCTTTGAAAAGCTCATGCAGGCCACTGTGATCGCATTCATGGCACGTTCCATGGCCTATCCCGCTGGCCGCAACCCTGAGCTTGAGAGGCGCCTGTATACGCCATGGGTACTTTGGCAGCTGAGGGGGTGAGAGGTGAGAATCGGTGAGAAACGTACAAACATTAAAATGACTCCGATGGCCTTCTTGTGCCGACGAGATGCTCGTTCACCTCTTGTTTTTCAAGTTGTCTACCTTCTACCTCCCACGATCAGGAGCGTCAGTGGAGTTAAGATAGCAGAACCTCATGCAATGCACAGAGACCATGCTGAGATGAGGATCGAGGATTTGATACGTTTTCTTCCTCCAGACAAACCTCTAATCCATGAGTCTAGAGCGTCCGGAAAGTAATTGGCAGAACTCAGGAATGGATGGACTCTACAGAATGGATGGGACTGTTACAACTCAGAGCCTCAAACGTTTTGCCACAGCTCCTTGAGCGAGCCAAACACGCCAAAAAGCCGCAGACCCCTGGACGACCCCACTAACGAAGAGGGCGCCACAAACACTCAAAGCACTGGACCCAAGAGGGGCCAAGCCTATTTATATCATGCTCACCCAAGAGCTCACTTGCGCAAGCGCACTCACATGTCAAAGACCCTCCTTGACTGGACGGCGTGACTTGTTTTTTCTCATTACATATCTTGATCGTTTTCCAGCTGACTTGCCCGTTTGCAGCAAATTTGCAAACATGTTGCAACTCAAAGGCCATGTTAGTGGTGCTTCTATGTGTTTCTGGCCTACACCTCAGGTGTCCTTAGCCTGGGAGCTGCACATGGACGATTTGGCCTTGGCCTTGGCCTCCTTCCATTCCAGGGAGTTCCGCCGCATGGCGCGGCGAAGGGTTGAGTTTTGTGGGTTCCGCGGTCCGTGGCAGGTGGCAAGACATGAAGAGATGAGCATGGGCCAAGTTTGATGAAGCAAAAGAACCAGGTCAATTCAGCTCAGGATGTTTAAAACATGTTTGCACATCATCTAAGTCTCCTTGATTAATCAAGGCTCGACATGACTCCGCAAGGTGTTCTTCCCCGAACTGTCCGAAACTGCCCGCAACAGGCCTGCAGTGGGTCTTGGCTTGAACAAAGTGCCCCAGACATTTTGGCCTTGCCGGACGCGAAGCACCTCGAAGAGCTTGCTGCGCAGATCGACCTCCATACAGCCACTGGGATCTGGGTGGCTGGTCGAAGGTGTGAGAATCTAAAACTTGTATATATAGACCCTAGAAGTCCTGCAAAGATCTAAAACTATCTAAAACTTGTGATTTCTATAGGTACCTATTATACTGCATAATTATATGCAAGTATATTATGATTGTTTCATCTATATTTGCACCACTGGAGTAAAGGAAGCTCCTTCTTTGGGGAGGTCATCTAAGCTTACACCATGCCATCGATCCATTCCATCACAGCGTCACCAGTCACCGGAATCACCGACCAAGTGTTCAAGGTGCGGACGGTGTGGTCCGGTCTGCAGGTGAACAGTGTGGAGTACCACAACGTGGTTTTGGATCCTTGGCCACGGTCCGATGAATCAATGGGTTTCCGGGAATTCTTCCGATACACCACAACAGGAGCAAAGAAGCGCGTCACACGGCTTGTGTTTTTGTGTAGAACTTTTGGAGAAAGCGTCAGCCGCCGAACTGACCAAGAAACCCATCACAAAAAGGAAAGCGTCCCGAAAAAAGCTCAGCCATTTTGGGGTCAGCCGTGCTGTTCTTCTCGGTTTTGTTTGGATATGTTTTTGGTGCCTGGGCTTTTGATCCGGCTGAGAAGGCTACAAAGACGGGCCCAAAAAGGGTCAAAACAGCCATCCGAGCGGCTGGTGGTGCTTTTGGTGCAGCTCTGGTCTCACCAAGTAATCCGTAGCATCCTTAATAAAACGAATAAAATATAAATGATGTGTGTTTATCATGTGTTATGATGTTTTGTCTTATTGTGATGGTTTATTTGTTCCCTATAGCTATGCTTTTCTTCCCCTTTCTGGTGGAACAAACACATGTTCATGAATTCCCCGTTAGTTTCAGGTCCTTCGTCGTTCGGACGAGTGGGTAAGGTCTTTTCGTCGAACAGTAGCCACACATCGGACGAACTTCGGGAACCGGTCGGTAGCCAGAAGGATCGACCCTTTTCGAACTGTTTCGACACGTTGAAGACCATTTTCCTTCATACAACCCGGGTTTTGGTGTTCCATGTGAAGCTGCAGGAGAATAAATGTAGCCTTCCAAGACCATTAGAAAAGGGTTGACCTGGTCTTGCAGTGCAAAATCCTTGGTAAAACGATGGTTGTTCGGAATTTGAACCATTAAATGAATGGCCAGGAATCCAAGCGGTGGTTCCTAACACCCGTTGGATTCCTGGCCGACTCATTTGCTTCTTTTTTTGTGAAGATTGTATTGTAAGTTGGAGTTGGAAGTCCTACTAAGTTCTTCTTTGAAGACCTATCCACCTGAAGTCGACCCGTGAAAATGCCCCAATGGCCCAAGTTCGTCGCTGAGTTCGGGTCATCGTCTCAACCCTTTCGGGTTGGAGGCATCGTTAGGTTGGAGGCCATCGCTCATCCAACTGGTCACATCCTGCCAAGGCTGCCAAGGCCCATGGTGTTCCGGAGGGTCACAGGTGACCCAGAACTGCTTCAGGTAAAGCTCGGGTCGTTCGACTCTCACCCCCGAGACGGTCGGCTGAACGTGGGGTGGACACTCGACGAGAAACAAGTCGAGCGAACTCGGTTTACATCACGTTTGAGATGTCACCATCAACTGTGAATTGGTAATGGGGGGAGACCGGGGGTGACAATATGAGATATACCCCAAGCTTGTCATTTTAAGTGAACACATGGCGCGACACCAAGCACACTGCGGCCAATGAGAAAGCATTGTAGCACAGCGACGATACAACGGTACAACTACAATCAACTATATACATCGAGGTTGACAGCATGTGAAACGGCGGAAAGTAGAACATACGGCACATCTTGACACAATTCATACCTAATTATATAGCCATATAATACATATATATGTAATTGCACATGTATATTATATAGAGTATCAAAGAGTAATACACGTTGATATAGTTTGTCACAGCCAGCGCGGGCCAACTAACCTGCCAAGAAACTGTTGGGTGGTTTATGCTTCCTCTTTCCGAAAGCGTTTTTCACTGGACCCCTTCTGAACTTCAGCCCTTTGGCCAACTTCAGCACGTTTGGCCATCAAGGAGTGGTTTGGCTTGGAGGTGACCCCGATCTTGATACAGCAGAGAAAGCTGGCATCGGCGGCGAGTGACGCAGACAGTGAGAGCACCTGTTTTGATGTGACACACTCATCACTTGGAGGTGCCCGTCAGAGCAGCTCGGAAGGAACTTCCCTGCTTGGTTGCTACTAAGGGTTTTCCAGCCCAGGTGCCTACCAGAGATTTTCCAGTGCACTTTGAATGCGCGGATTTTTGGAGGGGTGCGACAGTGGCCGTGGTGAAGAACTCGCATGCATGAAGACGTGCAGCGAGTTGCTTGACCAGGTGGCCATGTTTTGCCTGGCGGCCGGCTCCAGCCGGGTCCTCCAGGGGCACAGTTTGCAGTTTTCATGGCCTGTTCGCCTGGACAACTTGAATCCCTTGTTGAGATCAATGCCAGGAGTGGTTCGCTTGACGAGTTCCTGGTCGCTGGGGCTGTCGAGGCCAAGTGTTTAATGGACAATGCTTAAAGCATAGCCTCATTTCATTTGCTAAGGCCATCAGTGCCGCTGAACGTGTTTATTGCCAAGAAGGCTTGCACCCTGAGACAGTTTGTTTGGTGCGATCATTACTTTTTAATTTGTGGTTTCGCCACGAAAGAAGCTGATTCAACTTTGCACAACCCAGTCGGCTCAACCAGTTGCTGGTTGGCACTGTTGAAGCTCGGCCTCAGCATACCAGCTGAGCCACGTGGGTGGCCAATTGGGTCTAGAGGTGAGGACACACAAAGCTAGAGTTTGCGTTTGGTGTGGAAGTGTCCTCAAAAGAAGACATTCCATCAACATTGAGGAACAACCCATTGTTCACCATCCCTTTTTCGTGGTTTAACCGCATTGAAGATTGGACATGAAGTCTTCAACCAGACCCTGGTCAAAGGCCCCCTTGGTTGCACGCGGGCGGGCGGTTGAATCCGTGCCCTGTGCCTCGTCAGTGATCTCGTCACTGCCAGGCAAACCTGCACTTGTTGTGTAGCCCGGAGCCGTCCTGAAGAGGCTTCAGGGCCTTGGTTTTGCTTATAGGGTGATCTATTATATTTTCCATATTGGTAAATAATCCCCTTCTGGGGAATATCCCTTAGCAAATCCAAGAGTGGCAGATGGGCTCCGAGTAAAGAAAGCCGCGGTTGTTTTCGTAGCTGACAGATCAGAGGCCCCACACCTTGTCATGAGACCTACACTTTGGAAGTTGTGCCCTCGAAAGTTTCAACCCACCAGCGAACTTTTGTCCCAGTGCGACTTGCTTCACTGGGTTTTCTGCGGGTCATCGTGAACCGACAAGAACCAACAAACAAACATAACAAACAAGCAAACAACATATCATCGCATTTTACCCTTTTGAAGTCCCAAGGCTATTTTAGGATATTTTAGGGACCACCGACGAAGTAAAGAATTTTCCTTTCGGACCTAAAGACATTTTTGAACATACTCTTGGACTTCCAGGGTTTTATGCGGCTTTTTCTGATAGTATTGCATGTTACTCATGTGACCGTGTGCTTTCATCAGAGGAGCAGAGGAAACCTGCAGAAACTGCTCCTCACGATTAGGTTTTAATTCTCCCAGAACGGCTTGCAAATTCGAGAAAGTCTCAAGAGAACTCCAACTGGGGAAGGCTTGGGGTTCGACTGTGGTCACTATGAACGCCGCTGATGCCTTGTGGCGTTAGATGAGAACGATATGACATCCTCCAAATTTGCAAGCCCACAGCTGCTGTGCCAGCACAGCCTAAACCCCAGCCTTGAGACTCATCATTTGCTGTGAGCTCACGCTGAACATGTTTGTACAGAGCTTCAGAGGCGAAAAACGAGTGAAGTGGGTTCAACGAGTGAAGTGGGCTCAGACATGCTCAGACCATGATTTTCAGAAGTTGTTCATGAACCTGCCGAACCCTGCTGTCCAAAATTCTTAAAAACGGCAGTATCATGGATGCCGTTGCCGTTGCTACATCCGGCCAAGAAAAGGCAGCTCCCTAGCTAGGAGGATGAACAGGATGAACAGCCACCAAGCGATTTGCGGAAAAGTTTTTACAGATTTGGGTTGAAGCAGCCCATTCTCGCAACCACAAATTGCTGCTGAAAAAAAGAAGCGACCGTCCAACTGAAAGTGCTGGTTGACCACCTCCGCGGATACGTGTTTGATCGGCTGACGTAGAACGGGCGGGAGACTGGCCGCTCTGAAAATATAGAAGCGGAGTAAGTCATCCCTTGGAAGATGACTTTCACCATTTGCTTACCAGTATTCCACAGTATTCCTTTGCAAATCAACGTGTTTACTTCGATGATTCTTGCAGAATCGGTCGTGATGGGCGAATCCCACTGACTGCAGCACTCTCGTGGCACTCGTGGTCTCCTGTCGGAACGAGACAGGGACGTCCCCTGGCGGGTTCAGCCAGTGGTCCGTGTCAGCCAGAATCAGAGCTCTCAGGACCAATGACATACCGGTCGACCACTGGTATTGTTGTTCCATGTCGTTCTATCAGTTTTTACACGTAATCCCAGTTACAAAGGTCTTCGGAACCAGCGTCTCTAGGTCGATCGATGTCGAAGTGGGCGCGGCTGCCAGTCTTTGGAGAACCATTCGATCTCGGCTGTGTGGACACACTGTTGCGCATCCGACGTCCACCTCCGTTCCGCTCCAACCGGTTCCGCGACGGCGGCACGGCGCGAAGCTGAGGCCTGCCGCGGTCCAAGACACGCGGGCGCATGCGCCCGTTAGGCGTTCGCATGAAGAACCGCTTAGACGCAGGCGCGGCGCCCCGGCGCGCAAGCGCCCAGGCGCACGCGCAGGGCGAAGAAGCGGCAGGGCCCTTACACAGAGCCGAGCTGTTCAGCTTTTAAGGGGAGGTGATGTTTGTCTTTCGTGACAGAGGTAGGCCACATGAAAACCGTTGTGCACACATCATTTATGGCATATCATATAACAGTATATAATCATAACATATACATTATATATAGAATATGTGCGTCTAATTGTAGTGATCACCTCAGAAAACGACGTGCACTTGTACTTACTTCCACTATATAGTGTGGTTCGCATGGATGCGGCATCAACGCCTCAACGCCGTGGCGGTCGCTCGTCAGGACGGAACTATGCAGCACCTGATGATGAGCTGCTAATGTGAAAGAAACAGAGTGCGGACGGCAGACTCTTGCGGACTGCTCTTGCCGCCGCTGCCGACTCACTCTGGCGCGCGGTTGGAGCGGCAAGTTTGACTGCAAATCTTAGATATTTTTTGGTGGTTTTGATTTCATGATGCGATCCGCAGATCAGCACACGGGAGGCAATATGAAGCAATCACTTCAGTCAATGTTTGCTTTCAGAACTGGGGTATGAAAATTGGGAAGCAGATTCAGGATGTAGAAAGAACAGTAAGTAGCTGCGGCACACTTGTTTCTTGGATGAACTCGCCACGTACCAGCACCTTCCATTCGGGGTCTCCTGGCTGAAGCACCCATTCGGGGTCTCCATTGGACCCCCTGTGAAGGTCCAGGCATTAATGTGTTTCTTTGTCCTTTTTCACATTGGGTGTGGATTAGTAGCTTCTTTATGTGTTTTATGAGGAGCTGCGGCAGCTTGTTTGATCCGTTTCCTGCATGAAATGAATCTGCCAACTTCCGTTGGTGGGGTCAGGGTTGGCAGGCTCAAGGATTCTGGTTGGCAATTTAAACAAGTGTTGAGGTAACATTTCTTCAGACAATCCAGCGTGGTGCTTGATGCCTTTTCCTTGAGTGTCAGGTGTCAGGCCATGCCCATGCCATGCCCATCGCGAGATTTTTCGGCTGGACGGAACATATAGACATGTCAAGAGTTTTGTGCAGGACCCATGGCCTTACTACTAGGAACAAGAAGCTACTAGGGGCTACTGGCATCGCTACTAGGAGCAAGGACGCTACGAACGGGACTCCTGGCCTTACTACTAGGAACAAGAAGACATGCCCTGAGACTCCACGACATGGGCCCAGTCAAGGGACTCAACGACCCGACAGTTCTGCAGGTGAGGCAGGTGAATGGTGCTCATTTTACCCCGATTTCTTCTCATTCAACCATGGCACTGGCTTTCGTGTGTCGCGCCACATGTGCCTTTCGTCCAAGCTGCAGAGGTGGCTGTTCAGTCGCATGTGGGAGATGCTGCTGTTCGCAGGGTGTGTGGCGACCCGGACCTTCCGGACGAGGTAGGCTGTTCGACAGCTTCGACAGGTCTGGCCGCTTAGGTGGGACGAAGAAGCGGTGGCACCGCAGTCGACTGTGGCACCGCAGTCGACTGTGAAGTTTCCAGTGAACATGAGGGAGCTAGCTTTTCAGGTGCAAAACCCTGGAGGAGGTCTCTTGGTTTTTTTGGGGGGGGAGAACTCTCAAAAAACCATGTGCACGGGCTGAAAATCACGTTGATTTATCACGTTGATTTGCACTGAAGATGAACAGCCCTTTGGAAGAACAGAACGAACGGCCGTTCATCACCTATGGACCTATCCTCCTGGTTCCCTGGAGGCCTTGGCCCTTCGGGGTTCGTCGCCCCAACAAAGACATGCCAAAAACCCTAGGGCTCCTGGCCCATCTCCTCAGGAGGTGATTAGACCCCCCCAATCCCACCCTAACCACCTGGGGATATGGTTGTAGCCCTAGGGAACATTCAACGACCACCCCCCACCGACCTGGGCAGCGTCGTGACACACGTCGCGCAGGGCAGCTGCGTGGCTTGGTGACCGCCACGCGGCCGAAGCCCATGAAACGCTTCTACGAGGAGCCCGGGCGTGGGCGTCGGTGGTGGGGTGGTTGGGTGGGAGGAACGGTGAAAGATGCATGAAGATGCCAAGAGCTTGCACGATTGAGGAGATGTGTCACACAATGTCATGCAGAAACCAGAACTGCAGGGTTTCCCCTTGCAGATGTTGAATTCCTTTCAATGCCGTGCACACCTTCCTCGAAGGTGCTTGTGATATGATATGATGATGTGTGTGGTGGGGGTGGGTTTGGAGAGTGCAACTTCCTTTAAGTTTGAGGCTTGGGCAGCGGTGTGTGCAGCGCAAGAGGTTTCCCGATGAAGGGCAAATTTGGGAGGGTTGCATGACTGACAGGTGATGAACACGAGGTCACCCTGTACTACAGAAACCTTTAAAAACGTAGGGTTCACCTCAAAACACAAGGTGTTCAATCAAAACCCGAGGTTTCAAAAATCTGCTCCAGGCAGGATTCCGGAGTGTGCTTGCAGACTCTGGCTGATTTCTTCCGGTAGTCACCTGTGGCGGACAACCCATTAAAAAAACACGGGTTGGCAAGGGTAAATCACGGGTTGGACACGGGTTTGGCACGGGTTGCGAAAACCCGCGGTTCTCCCATAAACATGAGGTTTTCATTCCAAAAACACGGGTTGGCACGGGTAAATCACGGGGTGGGCACGGGTTTGGCACGGGTTTCACCACTAACCCTTTAATTTTTCCAACATTTAGTCACCTGTGGCGTGGCGGAAGCGGATGGAACGCTGAAAAACCTTGAAGTAGGGATCTCACCAGAAAACCCGAGGTTTTGTTCAAGAACCCGAGGTTTTTGGTTTGATACCTTCAACACCCGGGGTTTGTCATCAGACCCGACATTTTAAGGGGTTTTGTCGCGTAGGGTAATATAGATACAAGGCACCAACAGAGCGTGAAGAGATTGATTCATCAACATAACGATAGAACGGTTCATACTCACTCCTGCTTCAATCCAACCCAATGCAACTGTTTTTTGTTCCGGGATGTTTGATTCCACACTTGCTTGAATTTCAAGCGTATGGATCACAGTTCAGCCGGTTTGGCTGCGGCATCGTCCAGGAAGTGACAGTGCAAGAAGTCATTGGATCACCATCGCTTTGGCGCGTGCTTTTGGATGGCAAGGCGCGTGCCCCTTTTGGCGTGCCGCTGTCGGCTTGAGCTTTGTGAAGCATCGCTGGGCATAGTTGGGCATTGTCGCGGCTATAGTTGGGCATAGTGAGGCAGTGTTGGGCATTTGGGCATATTTTTTAAAACATATATACACATATAGTACTTTATTTGTCACCGAGATACTTGAGCTCGACAGCTTTGAGTCGACAAAAGGGGCAGAGTGGGGTGATGCCACGCTGACTCCCACGCTTTTTCATGTGTATCCTGAAAACGTACGCCGTACGCTTCACACGTCTGCAGACACTTAAAGCGAAGCAGACACTTACATTCAAAGCGTCAGAGCGTGAGAGGACGTTAGCTTGCGCTTGCTTCCCTACCCGGACGTTAGGGACGCGTGGCGTGAAAGACCCCACTCTGCAGAAGACCAGGCAAATTACCGTACTTGGTCTTCCAGGAGCCATCGAACCTGCCTAGGCACCAAAATGCAATTTTGCTTTGAAGACCAGGTGTTCCTATCTATAATCTCAGTCAGATTTGTTTGAGTGCTTTGTCCTGCTTGCAACCATTTGTTTGTCCTCACGCTTGTAACTTAGTGCCAGCCTTGATGCCACCCAGCCATTTTTTAGCACCAGAAACCGTAGAAGCCCAGGAAACCCAAGACCGCCCACGAGTCGAAGACTGGACGGCTAGCAGCACTAGCCTAGTCAATCAGACGTCTCAAGTACCTACATTGTTTTTATATCCAGACATAAACAACATACCAGGTGAGTTTGGGGAGGTTAGACCCCATGCAGGCTACATATCTATCTATATATATAGTTATAACTACAGTTCAGTAAGCTGAAACTAATCTAGCCACCTTCAGTTCAAGGGAGTCAGGTCGGGACAGAGGACAGGTCGGGCCCGCCGTTTGTTGCGGTAGCGAGCGAAAACGCATGTCAGGTGGTCAAGACTCCCAAAGGAACGCCCTTAGATCTTCCTGGTCCTGGAGTGGCTGCGGAAGTGGCAGGAGACCAGATTGCTAGAGACGGAAGGTTTTTTGGGGGGAAGAGGCAGCAGATGAGACTTCAGACCACGCTGCTTGCAGGTGAAAGTATTTTCATCATTTGCCCCAGGTTGATCACATTTTTCCGGATCGAAGAAGAAGAACATAAATAGGTGGGTGTGCCTTTATTAATGGGGAGACTTCTGGAGACTTCGACACCGAAGGAAAATCGACCCAAAATGGCTTTGGGGGTCCCTGGAGTGGTGCGAGGGATTGCGACAGGGAGGGTGGTCGTAGAAATCGGTGGTTGGCGGCCAGACATGGAGCTAGAGAAATCGGTGGCGGCCATGTTGAAAATCATTCACAATCACTGCTACCCTCCCTCCAACAATCATGGAAGGGCAAAATGGCCTACAAACACGGGGTTGTCCACCTAGTCCGCCTTTGTTTGTGGAGGGATTGTTAGTTCCTGTATATAAGAAATACGAACAAATTAATGTTCCATGTATGTGTCGGTGACCGGTGGTGCAACTTCAGTGCATGTGCGTTTCCTTCACTTGGAATGAAACTCAACGAGGAGAGTGGCAGACACAGGGTGATGATTTGCAACCCTTGGAGATGCCCTTCACGACCATCGGTGCCTTGGACACATTTAATGCAGCAGGTGTTGGTCAAAGGAAAGGTGAATCAACTAGCTGGAACTCAGGAGATCTCGGGAGGAAGCGATCTGGAGACGAGGGTATCCATACTCCCCAGTTCAACAAGAGATCTGAAACTCGGAGAAAGAGCACGTGAGGGACTCCCCAACACCTCGCTAGCTAGTCAAATCCTGGGAATTGTACCCACAACTGGTACAGGATCCCAGTGAGCGCCTTCTGCGGTAATCTGCATCAAGGTCTCTCGGATGGAAATGTTGCCCTAGCGATGCAACAGGAACACTTAAGAGGCACGTGTTTAATCGTTTTCAAGTTGTTGTCAGAGGTGCTTTATGCCGCTTTTGTTGAGGCTTGCTCATGTTCACAACCACAAATCCGGCACTGAGCAGCCGACGAACCGATTTTAAATTGATCAATCTTCATCCACTGTGCGCCCATTGAGTGGATCAACCTGTTTCAGCATTTGGGGGAGAAAATGGTTTCCCCACTAGATTGGAGGCCATCGCTAGTATATTGGAGGCCATCGCTAGTAGATTGGAGGCCATCGCTAGTAGATTGGAGGCCTGAACAAGGCAGATCTTCTTCTTGGAGGTCCCATGACCAGCCTG